CATGAAGTGCATCTGCAGATTTTCATAACAGGGTATTCCTTTGCATAAGTCTTCCCTAATTTGCAAGGAAATGTAGAAAAAAAAAGCAATAAAAAATATAGGAGTGTCCCCATTCAGGCTTGCTCAGATTCCAGGGATATAAATGCTCACAACACTTCTAAAGAAAAAGTGAGCAGTGATATGAGTTGCAGTAGCAGCTGATAGGAGAGATCTGTTAAAATTGATCATTCCCCTGTCAAAATATCAAGGAACTGGCCAATACATTCTGCAAAGTTGTCAGAGCAGATGATATAACAGAGAAGTGCAGCTATACATTACTTAGCTGCTTCTTTTCCTGCCACTAGCATGTCATCTGCTTCATCTGTGCTGTGACCTGTTGGGGGCACTCAGGTATAGCAGCAGATTGCTTGCACTTGCGTTATTTGTTTTCCCTTCTAGCCTTCAGATGTAGCTGCTATTTTATTCATGAATCACAATATTCCACTTAAACAATTAAACAAGATTTTTTTTTATCACTTTGGGGACAAGAGGGAAGTTTCTCAGAGAGTCATCAGGGAGACTCCATAAGAGTTCACTGCAAGTCATGTTGCTATGTTGGTATATTGTATTTTTTAGGTTTGAATTAATGTTCTCTCTGCTGTCTCTAGCATTGGCTTGTTGAATTACCTGCCTTCCACTGTAGTTGGACAGAGCCCATATTTAGTGCATCTTTAGCATATTTTTGTAAGCAGCTTGTACTATCACCACTTGTAGAACCATTTACATTTATTTGCAGAGACAGACTGACAGGGCAAATGGCTACTGCAGGAGACTAACTTTCTTACATTGTGCTATTTTTCAACAGCTCCCCACTTCATAAATCTTTCATCCCAATCCTGAGTGTATCTCAGGTACCTATGAAGTACAGCAGTTAGCCAGCAGGTTGGACTGAATCCATTATGCTAGGGGAAAATGATGGATTATGAACAGTGAGATCAAATTTCAAGAGAAAGCTCAGCAGAACTATGGGCAATTAGAAAGCTTCAGGCTTTACCCTTCCTGAGCCTGCATGTCCAGGAGACTCTCTCTGCCTTGTACAGACCGCTGTAGACTGGAAGAGTCTGTGAAAAGGAGATCCAAAAGAAAGCAGTCAAAGCTGCCTCTGGAGACTTTTCCTAGATCAGACTCCAGTGTCTTCTCAAAGGGTCAAGTATCAAGTGGGGTAGCAATCTGTTGCTAAATGCATTTGTGTTGCATATGAAGCCAATTATTTTGGAAGCTGGTTTTATGTGGTAAGTTCGTTATCTGCAATGCATATCATGTACCAGGGAGATATACTCTTCTGTTTCACCACGCAGATTATGATTACATCTTTCCATAAAGTCTAAAAAGCAATTCCCTCTTTAAAAAGATTCTTGTTGCCACCAAATAAACCTTAAAGAACAGACTTTCTAGCTAGAATGAATTTCCCATAATGTATGTCCCTGAGGGAATAGAAGACATGGAAATTTAACATGTCCAGGAAACTACCAAGAAGTCTGACTATTTGAACAACTGCTTTATTATTATATTACTTTTTAAAGGAAATATTAATAAACAACTTTTCACACTTCTAGTTAAACACAAACCCTTTTTTTCTCAGGATTAGTTTTCCATCAATGCTTACAGTTATATAAAGATATTTCAGATAGACAAGAAGACACGTTGTCAAGTGGTTTGATCCTGAAAGCCACTTAAACTCTTTTTCTCCTAATGACATAAACAAACATCATATATGGTCAATATTTACAGGAAACAAATGCTCAGTGAATGAAAGGTAGAGACCAGGAGCTTGCTGATTGATTTTAGTTTGACTAAAATTTGGTTAATAAAGGTAAAAGAGTTGATGAAACAGACTAAGGCATTTGTCTTGCTGTTGCCTGGCATTTCAATTAAGTATCTAGAGTGATGCAAAATTAACAAGTAATATATTAAGGGTATGAAAACTTAGCTACTGGCATGTCTAAAATATAATTGCAACTGGGCAACAATTATTAAGGAGATGCATTTCCAAAAATGTCCTGAAGATATTGGTCTTAAGCTGTCTAAAATTTGTATCAATGACTTGGAAGAAAACTAAGAACATATAACCTTACTGATAAAGCTTGCAACAATTTGAGAAGAGGAAGTAAAGAACCTGTAACATGGATAATTTTTTTCATGAAGTTCATGCTGCAGCACTCTCTGAACTGTTGGCAAACTGGGCTTAAGCAAACAATTTACTTTTCAGCACAGTCACATGGAAACTTATTTTTCCAGGGACACACTATTACTCACAATTGCAAAGTGAAATTTCTGTCTGGGAAGCACTTTAAGGACTTCTGAGCTGAATACATGTTCACAAGCTCTAAGACACCTCTTAGGTGAACAGAAATCTCTAGAAGAGAAAACACATTCCTAATTGGGCAGCCACTGCTTTAACTGGAAACCACATGTTCTAGTGGGAATGTTCACTTCAAACCAAAAGGTTCCTTCCTTTCATCTGAAACATACTTAACTGTCTGACTGACAAACAGAATACCTTTTGTTTATAAGCATTTTTTTTAGTCCTGTTTCAGGGCTTTGGTGGCTTACTCTGAGCTAAATTCATAGGCTGAAGCAATTTTTTATTATGACGATCACCTACTGCCTTGTGACAGGGCAAAGGGAATTGGAAATGCAAAGGATCTGGACACTGAGGAATGGGAGATATGCAACATAGTGAACATGCTGGTGCTGGTAGAGTGGTGGAGAGGAAAGACGCTAGGAATTTTTTGCCTTTCACTACTGAAAGGTATAATAGGATCTAAAGTCTGCAAGTGATTTGTAAACAAAGAATGGATGTTTTTCTAGGCAATATACTCCAGTTTAAACAAGAATTAATCCAAGAAAGTCATGTAATGTGTATTCTAAAGGAGATCAGAACAGATTATCACAATAGTCCATTCTGCTTTTATAATCTGGCCTTAAATACATAAGCACTTTAAAAATAAATCAAGATTGGACATGAAGCAGTAACATGTCCCTATTATTCTTTGCTCAGAGTGGAAGAAAATATATGATGGTTTATAATACTGAAATTGTAAGCAGTCTGAGTAAAGCAGGGTTATAATTTATTATGCTTTTTTTTCTATCTTGTATGCATGATAACAGAAAAAGACACACTTTAGATACTTTTAAACAGCAGATATCTAACTAACTAAATAATTAAATAGATAGTCATGTGAATAAGGACTTTGCCTGAAACTCTCTTCTTTTTTCATTTAGATGTATTTTAATTTTTTTTATCTTGGTTTTGGACCAACTTATTTCCTAACTGTCAAACTGTGCTAAATTCAAACAAAAGCTACTGCAGTTTTCCATAGACTTGTGATGATAATGCTTTTGCAGGGACAGATTATAATTGCGATACTCTTTATACTTGTATGGGTTTATGGGATAATTTAAGCCTGGTGGCAACATTGTAAAGAAAGTCCATCAGTTAAAACATGTTGCTCTGTCAGAGGTCATTAGTCAGGCTAAGGTCTACAACTCTATTCTCAGAGCTCTACCAGTGGAGCGGTCAAGTCTGTCTGGTTCAGCCCTTTCCTTCATATTTGCAGTCTCTTGGTTTAGCAGCTCCCTATTTTTCTTTCAAATTTGTCCTTTCATCCCACTCCTATTCTGTGAAGCTTCACCATTTCTTGTGGCTCATTAAGTGCAGATCTTTCTTTATTTACCAGTCTCTTCAACAAGTTTCCCTATTTGGTCATTCTCTTCCAGTCTTTGGTCCCAGCTCCTTGTTAGACCCTTATCCCTACCATTTTGGTTTCTACTCCTAGCGTCTTCCACCAGCCAGCCCCATCTCTTCAGTCTGCCCAAGCTTCATCTCACTCTGCCCCTCCTTGGTCAGGTAGAGAATCAGTATCTTGGCCCCATCAATTCTGGCCATAACTTCTTTTATTTCCTCTTCCTAAATCCTCAGTCTCATCAGACTCCTGCTTCCATTATCTCCTTTGGCCTAGTCTGTTTTCCATCTATTTTTTTTTTGTGTCAGACAAACTCTCCTGCACCCCCCTTCATGCTTCCTTCTTGTTGAGGAAAAGCCAGTCCTTGAAAAATTTGGCTTGTGAGTCTCTAAAACAACTGAAGCGGAGGACTGGCGGAGGGAAATTTAAAGTACAGAAAGTGTAATAGCAGCCCTAACTGTAATAAAAAAAGGGAGAGTGACAGGAAAAGGAGAAGCAACTGGGTGTTCTTGACAATATAATCTGATCTAAAAACTAAGAAAAAAGACTAACATTAAAAGACATGGGTATTCTCATCTGCAACACATTAGTGCTAAGCTTTCAGACCCTTGGTCCTTAGCACCTGCAGCTCTATGTCAAGCAGTCAGGGATTATAGACAGTACATTAGAAGAGATACTTCAGAAACAAAGACAACTTGAATTTCAGAAGCACTGAGCATTTGAAAATTCAACTTGTCTCTCAAAACTTAAGGCCATTTCTCAATATCTCTGTATGTTAATGTCATTGTGGGAAAAATAATAAGTATGACCATCTTATGAGTGTTGTTAAGCATACTTCATTTATACTTTCCTAAGACCCCTCTACAGAAATAGTTTTCTGAGTGTAAAGCACATCTATAATTATGAGAAGCACTCTTTTAAATGAGAAAAAAGGCCACAAAAAGAGATGGATAATATCATGAGTAGCTGTAAGTATCAGTCCCTTAGTCAGATTGTTTGTCTATCTGTTGCTTTAGAAAGCCTGTTTACTGCTGTAGTCAAAAGGCAAAAAAGTGTGGCAGGTAGCAGATGTACCAATTAATAACCTGTCAAGGCTGATGGATAGAATGAAAAAAACCCCAACCATCACAAATAACTCCCGGGTGGTTTTTTCCCCACATTTCAGGTCATTGGAGGTCATGAGATACACTCTGTCTCCCTGGAGAGAGATGAAACTGTCTCATTAGCGTCTATCTTTCATGACATTAAGAGCCTGCCTTTGAGATGCTAACTCACCTGTTCTTCTCCCAGAATCCTGAAGTGATGAAGCTCTTTAATCAAGGAATCTGGACAGCCAGCTGTTGGAAAGAAACAAAAATAGGCATTTTAGAGCTTCCTGTCAGTGCAGTTTCAGCATAAGACACATAGATGCACAGAGGATGGAATATACAGATTGCCTTAGATAAAGAAGATTAGAAAGATTAGCCATGGTTCTGCAGGCACCAGAATGCTGAAAACCATCTATCACATAATCCTTCCACATTTCTGAGCATACTACCAAGAATGTTCAGAAAGGTTATATTCTGAATATTTTAGCCCTTTCCCCAAAGGACTACAAACAAAAGCAAGATGAAAAGGGCAGCACTGTCTGCCAGATACCGCCAACATCAGTGTAAGCCAAAAAGCCTGTTAAAAGAGGATCTCACATCAAAACACTGGAGCCGCCCAAAGCTGAATTCTGATTCACACACCAGGTTTGGACTCATTTCTAAGCATAATACAGGCTTTCCCTGGTTCCCTGAAGGATTTCATTGGCCCCACAGATCACTTTAATTTTGGCTGCCACAAATATAACCCATTTCACATATATGTAGTTTTTACCCACAGGTGTTAATACACAAACCAACTCACAAATCACAGGGTAGTGCTTTGCCAGCACTTTGCTATGAGATTGATGTTCAGTCACTACAGACTTTCACACCTGTACCAGCCAGTAAGAAAGAATAAGTCTTGCTAGATGCCATGCACTTTACTGACCTGTTCAGAACGTGGTTACCTTCTTGGTGCTGAACCCAAGGACCCCGTACAATACTTTTGTATGTTACTTCTGTGTATCACTTTTGTACACTGCTAGACTAATTTCTGACAAGAGATGAAAGTGCAGGCTGTGAAAGCAATCCGGCCTTTATTCTTTTCACCATAAATTGAAGCATCTGTTTATGAACAGAGTAAATTCCTTAAAATTCCCAGAAAATGGGAGGAACTGTGATATTTATCAACCTGCTTTTCTACTGATGCTACTACAAATAGTTACCTTTCACTCTTAATAACTGCCTTTAAAAGGATGCAAATGAATTTGGACAGAATCGTCAGGAAATCTCCATCAACACTGTGTCTTCACTCAAAGCCAATGAGACACGGCCTACACTCAGCTTCTGTTGGTATAGCCATCTTAGGGAGAGAGAAGGAAAAGCCTTTGCACTTGTAAGCAACATCACTAAAAAGGCAAAAAAAATCTACTATTGACACAAGTATACTAGTACAAATCTTGTACTCATATCATGTTTTCTACTTAGGGGACTGATTTAAATTATACTCAAATCAGCTTCTTACTGGTAAATGCTTCATCTCCATTCAAAGGAGGTACAGGTGGTGAATGCACTATCTACACAGCTTCATCAGCAGAACTTTATCAGGTTTAACCATATAGTAAGAATTCTTTATTAATGACTTGTCTTTTATTAAATGTTACTATTTTTCCCATTCAGTAAAGCCTATGCTATTTTTATAAGCTTCTCTTCACCCACCTCTTCCTTCCTCTTTCACACAAGAATATTCACATATTTGAGTGCCTGAGGTTTAGCTCTAAGTGATTCTTTCTCAACACACTGAAAGTTGTCCTTGCTACTTCTACCACAGAATCAATGCTACACAGGAGTTTTCCATTCTTTTCACTAGGATTTACATCTTCATCTTCCAGCTCAGCCAAACTCTGAATGTATCAACTCTCACTAACTTCTTGACCTGAGGTCTGACTTGTTTGGAGCTTCTCCATAGTACAAATCAGAACTTACTATGAAAAACATTGTTATCCTCTCTTACCATAAAGTCCTTATGTAATGATTAATTTTTTTTCACATGTAATTTTCCCTGAAAATATCTGCATTGATTGTGTACTGCAACAGGAATTTCTAAATGTAGAGGATAATTATGATTTCATGTAATACTGCATGTTAATCTTTGACAGATGTTAGCTTGAGAACACCAGCTAAACTGCATTTTGCTTGTCTCTGCTTTTTGCAGCCCTTACAGCTTCTACTTCAACCAATCATTTCTTTCTTTCCTCTTATCCTTTCCAATTTATTATTCACCAAACTCTTTAAGATGGGAAAGTTTCCTTTTTCTTCCTTAGCAAGAACTTTTTCTTTTTCCATTCTCCTTGAAATCATATTTCATTAATACGTATTTTTTCCCAGAAATTCATCCCATTCTGCTCTCATGCATAATTTATATAATCTCCCTTATGTGAGCTGTTTACATGCACTCTCTCTTTCTTCCATGTTATAGACTATATACACTTTGGAATCAAGGATCTTTGTAAAAAATATAAATAAGTATGAAGATATATATCAATACAGGCTGAGGGATGAACTGATTAACAGCAGTCCTGCTAAGAAAGACTTAGGGGTGCCAGTGGATGAGAGGCTGGACATGAGCCAGCAATGTATGCTTGCAGCCCAGTAAGGCACTCGTGCGACTCCATCTGGAGTACTGTGCCCAGTTTTGAAGCTCCCCACAGAGAAGGATATGGGTGCTATGGAGTGGGTCCAGAAGAGAGCCACCAAAATGATCAGAGGGCTGGAACACTTCTTCTATGAAGAAAGGCTGAGATAACTGGAATTGTTCAGCCTGGAAAAGAGAAGCATCCAGGGAGATCTTATAGTAACCTTCCAGTACTTGAAGGGATCTAACTTCTTATAAGAAAGATGGGGACAGCCTGTTTAACAGCCTGTTGTGATGGGACGAGGGGTAACACTTTTAAATTGAAGGAGGGTTGATATCAATGATGACTAGATATAAGAAAGAAGTGTTTTTATGATGAGTATGGTTAATCCCTGGAATGGGTTGCCCAGAGAGGTGGTAGACGCCCCATCACTGGAAACATTCAAGGTCAGGCTTGATGGGGCTCTGAGCAACCTGATCTAGTTGAATATGGTCCTGCTTATTGCAGAGGGCTGCACTAGATGACTTTTAAATGTCCCTTCCACCTCAAAATATTCTTTGATTCTACAAAATCCATGCATGTTGTTACTAGTGTTACTAGTCATCCACAGCTACATCCTCTTGCAAATAGGATATTTTGTATAGTCTGTTTTTCAGAGACTTGCCCAATCTAGTTTTCAATCTTTTCATAGTTCTGACTTTCACTGGACGTTGCTTAGCTGATTTTACAACATAACCTGAAGTTACCAGCAAAGAAGGACTAGAGAGAGCTTAAGAACTATGTCACTGTTGGCAAGATGCTTTCCAGCAATGAGTTCAGGAATGTCAAATATGCACACAATATTGAATCATGCTGACACACCTTAACTGTCTGCTCTCAGTAAGAAGTCCTTTCACATCCTCACATTCCAGGAGCATTAATTTCAGGAAACAAAAAAGTACTCTTTTTTTAAAAAAACAATTATTCCTGGATGTATTTCTGATGTTTCCTATGTGTACTTTAATTTCTCCTGTTCTGTAAGTGTACCTTTGTAAAATATGCTCTAACACTGTAACCTATTTTTACCAAATATCTGGGAGTTTTGAAAAAGTCTTGGATTATGTTAAATTCCTACATTGACTAGAGACAAAAGTTATGGACAAATCACCATTCCCCAAATAAAAAGTAAAGAGATTCAAAAAATACTTGTCCTGCTCAAAAACATTAAGTACTATTTTTCATTTCACCCACAAAATCATCCATATATCCATCAACATATTCATGTATATGCAAACATGCATGGCAACTTGAAAATGATTACAGGTTAAGGACAATACCTGATGGGGTCACTGGAAAACTGCAGCCTTAAAAGAAAAATGTATTTTCTAAGTTTCTGATGTGCAACTAGCACATGCCAAATGACATAAATTATCTGTGTATTACAGAATTCTGCTGTTTTGTACAGAACACTTTGAGGATTGTTTTTTATGTCCTTTGTAGTACAGAAACCTTTACAATCAATGATCTCAGCAATTACCGAAACTTTCCATTTCCCTCTTCACAATTACTACTTGAAAAGTACAAGCATTCATGAAATTTCCATGGACATAAGCTGAACCACAGGAATATTAAATAAATCAATCAATAATAATTACACTTAAGAGTGTTAAAAGGACATGATGCAAAAGCATGGACAATTGCCCTTAAATCAGAAGCCAAAATTCAGGATTGAGGATATCTGCAGACTGATAAAATGGCAGCTAAATTGTTTATTAGCTCCTTCTTTCAACTCAAATTCAAACTTATGTGTTTCATATGTTCTTAGCTAAATGACTGTTACAGGCTTTTGCTGTGAATGCAGAGCAAGATGTAAGAAATATAAAATTAATGCAAAATTTAAATTTTTATACCACTTTTTCCTCTGTCATAGCTCCATTGACCGCAAAGCAGTAAGATCTGTAAAACTAACGTGATGTCTTAGGAATGAGCCTGAGTCTAAGTAGGAAACTAAGTTATGAAGGATGAGACCCAGTTCAAAGCACCAGCAGCTTTACAAAGTCACAAGTAATTGCTTTACTTCTATTTAAGCACTTATTACTTAAATTAAATTAAAGCACATTATTTGCTTCTAAGTGTTCCACCATACCCTAGACTACTTGTTTGAATAATTTTGAATTTTGTTGTTTGATACCCATATTGCTTTATTATTTAACTGCAAATGCTACACTTATGAATGAAAGATATGTTTAAAGTTACAGAAATTTGCAATTGTAAATTTACAATTTATATTGTGGTATTCTCTTCATAAAGATATTTTTGATTTGTTCATGTAAGTGTACGTATCTGCAAGGGAAGAATAAAGTAGCAAAATTTAGGAAGGACAGTTTAATGTGTCCTAACATAAACCCCCTGATTTAAAGTGGTCTGAACACACATTTTAAGCTTCACTTGTAATTAAACTATGATTCTAACTACTACCAATTTAATTACCCAAGTATTCACATATATTTTCTCAGACAGAATTAGCTTCTGGTTTTGTTTTTGCTTAAAATTATCAGTTTGTATGACTTATGATCTCCAGAGAGAAGGCAAAGGAAAAATTAAATCAACCCTTTAATCTTACATAAACTGGTGAAATGAAAGTAAAGCATGACT